GAGAGTAGCAGTAAAATGATTGTATCTCTACAGTTTAAAAATGTAATAAGCTTTGCCCTGCACAGAGTGGATAGTGAAACAAATGGAATCATCATAAATACATTATTTCATATTTATTACTTCCCCCTCCTCATTGCTTTATTATTGTAGCTCTAGTAATAAATAATAATGTAAGGATGCCCATAGTATATACAGTATTCTGAAGAAGGTCTAAAATGTCACTGTGTGTGCATGTGTGTGTTTTATTTAGCTGGATTTAAAAAAATATTACTCATGATATAACATTGTGCAGACATGGCTGGTAAGGACATGAGGAGGAAACAGTAGGAGCTGTGTGAGGCTACTAAAGGCAGTGCTATAACATTTTTCTGTCATCATTTTATTATAGATTAAGTGCAAGAGTTGTTAGGTGTGGATAATTAGATTATAGTTTATTGCAATAGCAAGTTGTGCCTTGTTCTCAGATAGACAGCAAGTGGAGAGTGATATATGAAATGATGGGATGGAAGGAAGAAGAGAAGCAAAGAGTGATTCACAGGCAGAGCCTAAATTATTTCTCACAGTTTTTTGTTGCCTTATGGTTCCAAGCGCTGTCACCAATCTTTGCATTTTGTTATTATCTCATGACACTTGTTTAATCAGCTACCATCTCTCCTGTGGACTTTTTAATGTCTACAGTCTCAGATCAACACAGCCCTGCCCTTCCCATATTAGATTCTTGATGAATGTGTGTTGTTGTTATTCAGCATGGTTCAATGTGCCCCTTTTTAACTTTGAGCACCCGCCCCTTTAAACCTCTCTGCACGTCCCTGAACCGGTTATTAATGTTTTACTTTTTCGCGGTGACGTCAAGGGCGTCAAGCACGCGCCCTGTGCTTACGGGCGCGAGTGAGCGTCCGGGTGATGTAGGCGTCGTAGAAAACGCTCGCTCGCACCCGAGCATTTTGTGGCATGTTTTGACCTATTTTTGGGCCATTTTCGTGTTGCTGGGGGGGGGGTGAACTCTGAATGACCTATTAAATAAAAGTGTAATATCTTTGACACCTAGCGATACAAACAATGATTTTACCAGCACAGACGGAGCACTAACCACCCAGTATACTTGATTTTATTTTTGGGGGCAAGTGGGGGTCACGTTCACAGACTGGGCTGCTCCGGTACATAATGGTAAACGTGCTCACAGGAACAGATTTATGAAATGAGTAATAGAAATTTTGGAGCATTTGAAATTTAACTTGTATTATTAATACATTTTAAAAGAAACAGGATTGTTCTTAAGTTTAGACCATCTCTGTGCTACCCCTTTGCATGTGTCTCACTGTACACGATTAATTTTTTCTGGTTTTCTTTTTCTCTCAGGTTGCTGGTTGTGGAATTTGGAGCTGCGGAGATTTGAGCTGTGCTCCAAAAGTGCATGTTGAAGGTACCTAATGCTTGCATATTATTTACTTTTTCCTTAATACGCAATTTTACATTTTGAATTCTCTTATTTGGTCTTTTAGGTTATCACCACAGTTCCACTGCTGTCCACATTCATGAGCAGTCTTGACCAGTACTCTGACCAGTTGATGAAGATTCTACGAAAAAAAGGAGGGGAAACAGCGCGGCGGATCACAGCAGCGTTGTCTGCAATTTCACAGGTATTCTGTCTTTTTAAAATGTTCTGTAACTAATAGATTAGTTGCAGGTTGATCTCAGGTCTGGTTATTAACCTGTATTTTTAACTTTCTTGGGTCATTTTATGCTTGTTCTCTCCTGCGTTATACTTCTCATCTCGCTTTTGGCTTATATTCTGGACTTGGTCCTGACACAAAGCAGAACTAAGTAACTCATGCCCCTAGAGGCCATAAGTGCCGCTGCTGGCATTGTAGCTTTTTTCTTTTCTTTTTTTTGTTACTCATTAATTGTCCAAAGGAATAATTAGCTACACTGAGAAAAGACAAAGGCAGACAACATTTCACATTTCGCCACAACTCAGTGACACAATAGATTATTTTTTTTCACTCAAACTTGGTATAAATACTGCAAATGTGGTGGTAGCCCGCATACCTCATATTAACGTGACAGTGTGTAGTTTTTGTCATTAATTTTTGGAAATCTCTATCAAAATGTTTTTGATTCCTTTGAACAGCACTCCTATGCAACAACACTTTTCGGGTGGTACACCACGCTAAAGCTGCATTTTCCCGACCCAATGTATCGCAATCAGTGTAATTGGACTCATAACTTATAATCTTTATGGGAATGAATTGGTAAGCTTCTCATTCTCTAACACAAAATACTACTTGCTTGCAAAAAGCATGTTTAAAATTACTTAGAAACAATTATGAATTGGTTAAACAACAATAAAAATTGACTTAAGTTCTGTGGGGGTCTCTAAAAACTTCAAAAAAGTAATTGCCATGCATGTGTTGTTTTGTTTAGAGTTCCCGAATCGAAGTGAAGCGTGAATGCATCCTTAAAGCTGTGATTATATACCTGAATGAGAACCCTGAAAATCTCATCAAAGAGTACATGGTAAGTTTATTTTTAAAGGGATATTCCACCCCTCAGTAAAATTTTGACTGTCATAATTCCCAGAGTTTTGTAAGTTGAAAAATGTATTTTCTAAACAAGCCCAGGCATTCTCCTGTTCTGGCAGCAATCAGTTTTCTTTAAATTAGCTTACAACAATAAAGTGCATGGGAAATACTAGGATTTTGTTTCCATTCACTTACATTGTTTTATGCGAAACTAAAGAAAATGACCCTGGTCAGCAGAATATTGATAATATTATTAATGCATACTCCTTCTGCCCTCTGTCCATGTTTCATGTATCTTCTTCTTGGTCTTTATTTGGTGATAGTCTTAAATCCACATTTTTCTTTGGTCTGTTCTCCTCAGTCTCATTCAGGGATATGTGTAATTAGGGTAGTGTGGACCATTTTAACTAAAATGGAGTGAATAGATGATGCAATGACCAAAATACAACGGATTTAAAATATTTCTGTCCTTTTCAGGATTTCAACTGATGGAAGCTGAAGAGCTCGAGAGGATGGATTTGGCGTGTTTATAAAATAATCCATGAAGGAGCACAGCCTGATGACTCCCTTGAAGATGTTGGCATCATTATCGAGAGATGCACCGTCTTGCAGGATCTTCACGATGTGGCGAGCGGGTGTGCACTTTTGTTTGGGCTAATTTACTGCCTCAATCTGAGTTACCCAAAGCCACTTCGCTACACATTTGAGTTCTTCCAGAAGGTGCTCATGGGACTGGAAGACAAAAAACTGTCTAACAAAATACAAGTGCTGAAGAACAAACTCTGCCAAAAGGAGACGCAATGACTCTTCTAGATTGAAATGTCTCCCAAAATAAGTGCTCTGTTTTACTGTTTAAAAGTTTATAAATATATATATGTTGATCCTTGTTTGTAAATATTTTGTCATAGCTTTAATATTTAAGAGATTTACTGAATGCCATTTTTCTTTTGATTGTGGAAAAGAAAACATAATTCAGAAACTGAGTTTTTGGAACTGGGGACAAAATTACGCAGATGGATATATTTTCTTGTTTCACAACATTTTCTTCAGTTTGAGTTGCTGTGGTAATTCTGCAGACTGTAGCCGTTGCAGACCTACAACTGTAGATCCTGAAATCATTCTGTCAGGTTTGACATCCTACTCCTCACTACACTGTCACTTAGTTGAAACTGGAAAGTTGTTTCAGATGTTTACATTTTATTTTACACACTTCATTTAATGTTGCATTATGCAGTGTTGTTTCCCTGTTTAAGCTTTGCCTCATTGAAGGCTTTTGTTCAAGTTGTTAAAGCAACACATTTTTTTTTGTATTTACACTTCATATTAGTTCTTGTGTACCAGGTTTCCATTGTAGGTCAAGGATCTTGAGTGTTATAAATGTTAAAGTGTATGTGCAAACAAATGTGAAAAGGTTCTAAGGTTGTCACCTGTACTCAAGTTAAGTGCTGGATTTTTGGTCTTAGCATTTAATTAAGAATATTTTGAGATTTGCTATATGCATGTTTTTTATTGTAAAATCTATTATATAATAGAAAACTTATAATTCTGAATCAGATTTTTGTAACTGGGGAGTAAATCGTTTTTACCTTTTTGTGTCACTTAAGTATTTTCTGTAATTGCATTATACAGTGATTTTTAAGTAGCTGTGGTAAATCTGCAGATCTGACTATAATCACAAGTTGTATTGAATTTGACATCTTACGGCACACTACAATGTCACTTTGTTGAAACTCGGAAAGTTGTTTCCAATGTTTAAATTTTGGTCATGCCCTTTAAGCATTTAATATTGCCTTATGCAGTGTTGTTCCCTGTAGAAGCTTTGCCTTGTTAAGGCTCACCGTAAATAAAGTTGTTGATGCAGCACCCTTTTTTTGCATTTACACTTTATGTAAGCTTTGGTGTAAGAGTTTTCTATTGAAGTGCAAGGATCTTGAATGTTATAAATGGTAACGTGTGAGCAAGTGTAAAAAGGTTTTTGAGTTGTCACCTGTACTCTGTAGTTAAGTGTTAGACCTTTGCTGAAGACTTCTGAAAGGTCCAAACACCTAATTACAATGTATAGATGACAACTCAGGAACCTTTCTAGACTTGTTTTGTTGATACCTAAACATTTAGCATATAGATGAAACTATTCATTAAATCATAATTAATCAAATTAATTAGGTCCAAAACGCAATCTAAATGGTTAAATTCAAATTAATATTGTCAATTGAACCTAAAGCAATACAGTTAATAAAATGAACAAAGTGTTTAAATTCTATTTAATGGTGTTAAATAGTAACAATGAAAGGAAAGCTGTTGCTTTTATAGAACAATTTCACTTCTGATATACATCACCATTGAAATTGCAGATAATAACCATATTGATTTGTTTAATTGACCAGGTTTTGTGAAAAAAAAATGTTTTTCAATTTGTTTCAGTTTTTAAAAATATGTTCTTAAAGATTACCGCAAGGTTTAGAATGGAATATGTTTTACTTACTATACAGCGGATGAGATGATGTAATTTAAAAGCAGTTAGGGGAGAATTAGAAGAACGTAACAAAGTATCGCCAAATTAAAAGTACTAACTAATAACAGCAAAAACAAGAATTACATACATTGATCAATAGTAATCTTAATCAACAAATACCAAAACTAATGCAAAAAGGGTTGGGTCACAAACCCAAACTGCGAGAATCACATTATTTTCTAAACTTAGTGTAATTTTTTAGAAAAGGTATTAGAATGAAAAAGAATGCAATACAAAATCTAAACGAACAAGCTCTATTTACATTTCTGAAATACATAACCTACATATGTACAGAAAAATCAGAATCGGAGAAGCTTTATTAATTTGACGGTGAAATTGAATACAAGTTTCCTGTAATTTCTGTGGAATATTACAGTGAATCTGGCTGAAACTTGGCACACAGGTACAGTAGGTGTCCCGGAGAAGGAATCTGTTGAAAGTTGGACCTCAACTACTATGGATGATTTTTAATGAATTTCTGAAAATTGAGAGAATCCTATTGTATTGACTGTATTAGATTGAATATAAGTTTCCTTTATTTTCTGAGGAATTTTACAGTAAATCTGGATGGAACCTGGCACACAGGTACAGTAGGTGTCCCAGAGGAGGGATGTGTTGAAAGTTGGACATCAACTATTCAGGATGATTTTTAATGAATTTTTGAAATAAACATAATTGTAGTGTATTGACTGTATTGCACTGAATATGAGTTTACTGTGATTTCTGAGTAGTATTACAGTAAATCTGGGTAAAACCTGGCCCAGAGGTAAAGTAGGTGTCTGAGAAGAGGATTGTGTTGAAAGCTTGGCATCAACTTTTAAGAATGATTTTTAATGAATTTTTGAATATGCATCAGACTGTCACGATGGCTGTATTGGGCTGTTCCATTGTAATTTGTGTGTGCGCGCGCGCGGGTATAGGCTTTCAATCAGGATATAAAGCGAAAAGGCGCTACCGTAAAGACTGGTGTAAAAGCGCAAGGAAATTTATGCGGCGGATAGGAGGCGGCTGGCTTGACCGCGGCTCACAAATGACGGCTCACTTTACCGCAGTGGCATAAAATAGTCTGCAGGTGATACAAGATCGCAGTCTGTCCTATTTTATTTTCCACATCTAAAATTAGGTTACAGTCAAATTCCAGTGAAGTGTCTGCGCTGCAGTGTTTACCTTTGCAAGCTAGAGCCAATCAAACTGTGGGTCAGGCTGATAAGGAATAACGTCCAGTCCCACATAAAGAGGAACACCTGGCCACTCAGCCTCCTCCTCCTTATATTTATTACACATAAAGAGGAAACTGTGGTAGATTTTGCGCGTTAAAAAAAATAATCAGAGAATGAGGCCAAATAAAGTTTAAAAACGCACCACTTTACAAACACGGCGAAATCACGACTTGATTCCGAAACAGTGAGCAAATGTGGACATGTTTCTTCAAGCCGTTCAGCAGATAGTTAAGAAGATCGTGATGTAATTACTGGATTATTACCTGCACTGATCAGTAGAGAAATTGCTCCAGCCGTCGTCACCTGGGAGTATCTCATGGTTTTTGGGAGGTGGAGGTCTCTCCAGCACGATGATGGCGAGCAAAACTCCCAAAATAGTCAGACATGCCACAATCGCAAGTAGCTTCACGCAGCTGGTCTAAGAAGGTGAGGTTTGAGAGGAAGAGAGCTTTAAGAGTAAGAAAGGTCACGAAAGCGCATAGTTTGGTTTTTAATGTTTGATGCTGCCCTACCCTTTTGTTTGAATCGTTACTGTCATCAAGGCTGCTATACGAGGAGGTCATTTTCCCCTTTCAAGTGCTGTTAGAGACCAAAAGCAGGAAGTTACCGTGTCGGACAGAAGATAAACAAATTAGAGAGCTCACATCTGTGATCATTCATTTCTGCAATTATTCCAGATGGTTTTCATTTTGGAATTGGATTCATTTTAAAGTAATGAAAAGAAACTTACAGATTGAACTCTTTGAAAGTTTCTTCTAAGCCAACTTGATTGTTTTCTTCCTCCAAACTTCCCCCCAAATATGAGCAGAAGTGAATTCTGATGCTGAATATATCACAACATAGTTCCCATTTTCAGTTTCGTTTTTTTCGTTTATTTTTGGGTAGTTCTGTAGCATGGGGAGGGGAGGGGTAGAGTGGGTGAGTGTAACAAGAGATAACAGATGACAAAAAGCAAAACAGGTTTACTAATCACATTTATTTGGAAAAAAACAAAACATATCTGACATCTTACACAAATAACCAAACATAAATAACAGCTATCAAATTACAACCAAATCATTTGGGTAGGGAAGGAATGGAAACAGAAACTGAAGATCCAAAACAGGGGACAGAAATTTGATACACACATTTTAAATCTTCAGCGGACCGTGTCGGACTAAAGCTAAGTGGAAATACTATCCCACAGAAGATGAATAGCAGCAACGGGTTGAGAATGACAAGAAGAAAAACATTCAAATTTTGCTGGAGTCTGTAAACAACCACTGTACTCGCCCGCATGAAACTTTATCCCATGCAGCTAATGTGGCACTTTTGTAGGTACTTCCCAGTTACAATCACATGCATGGTCCAGACTAGGAAGAGGGAAACTGAGAAGCTTGCGGGAGTTCCCTGCTTCGGCCTCCTGTGTCAGCATCAGATTCTTACAATCTTTCACCGGAGAGTCAAAGCTTTCAGTTTGCAGCGTATCGGCTTAAAGAGGGATGACGCTGTACTACCTCAGTGCAAAAAGACGAGATTACCTGTAGGAAGTAACCTGTAGGACGTGTAGACGATCTTTAGACATTTACACACACGTTAACAAATCAGCTGCTATCATCAAATTTTTTTAACAATTTCATACAATTTACTTGGTCATAAATAACATTACATCTCTCACGACTCGAAGGGCTGAGGTGTCGTGCAGATACAGATAAAGACGACACATTTCTCGTCCTTGAAATCGTGTTCGTCTTTGGACAAACCTT